GCTGTGACTATAAAATTAGGCTGCCATTTATTTTGTTTTCAGTATTATGTGTTGATCCTGAACTTTGGGTTGGTTGGTTTTTTACATTTTCATTTGTAGAACTGAGCATATTTGCTTTCTAAAGTGGTAACAGTGAAAAGGAGGAGAATGAGGATGGCTCATTTAAATGACTGTCCACCTCAGCAGCAGAATTAAACCAAATACATAAAATAAATAGTCAAGAATCTCTAATTGGAATTAAAAGTTGTACCACTTCTTTGACCAGCAGATGTTGCTGCATTTATTAGGAATTAATTGCAGAAAGGGTTTTGAAAGTTGTGAGTTATTCTCAGTCCTAGGCCTCTGACGCAAAGTGTCAGACTTCATGTGGTTCATTTTGATGTTGTGGTGATTTAATTAAAGTCACAGCTAATGGCATAAACAGTTTACATAAGAGTGTCCAGTTTCAAACATCCTTCATGTTTACATTGAATTAGTTTATGTAGTAGTGAAAAGCATGAAAACATGAATCAAAAATCAAGAAGCCTAAAAAAAAAGCAGAGTTGTATATGGATATGCTATCTGAAAGACTCCAAATCCTAAACTGACCTCATGAATTTGAGAAACTTAATGATTTTTGAGCACTCTGGCTTTACATACAGCATGCCAAGGTAGAGGAACGTGACTCTTCATTACATGTGTACTTTGTTGTGCTAAAATATTTTAAGATTGTTAATACTTTTGTTATCATTAGCTTCCAGACATTTGCATGTAGAAAGTGCTAAAGTGTTTTTTTTAAACACTTAAGTTCACCTTAAGTCCTCTGTAATGGGGTGAAAAAAATTTTTCAAGTAATTTTGTTTACTAGTGGTAGATGACTTTTAAATAATTCCATTTTTAAAAGTTGCAAGCTGCTGTGGAATTAAATGCTGAAAAGCTATTAAAAATTATGGACAGTTAAAAACTGCAGGAGGTATTTCTTATGCTTGAAAGTGGGCATTTTGAGTAGTGACTTTTGAGAAATGCATTCCATTTCTGAGCAGCCTAATTAAAGGAAGCTCTTCCTCTATTTGTACAAGATTACAAACAGGACAAATTACTAAGTGACCAGCCAATACAGTTGTTAGTGAAAGCCTAGAGAGTATAGGCCTGATTAACTGGATTGTTGCCATTTCAAAGGATTCAAAATGAAAAACATTTTGAAAATAAATTACATGCCTTAAAAAGAATGCAGAAGAAGAGATTTTAATGGAAATAAAATATTAATGCTTTAAAGAAGCAATGGTCTGCATCACGGAAATAATACAATTCGATGGGTGATGATAATACGATAGAGAATTATGCTAATCCATTTTAGGAAAAACAAAGGCCTACAAGGTATGAGAAATATCTCTTGGCTCTCTGATTTGCATGTTGTAAATGAAATGTAGTTCTGCCTTACTTTGAGTGTTGACCATGTCGATTTATCTTTCTGTGTCACAGCTCTGTTTGAGTGCCCAGTTTTGAATCTTCACGCCATGTTTCCACTGTAGTGCATGTAAGTGTCCTCCACTTGCTTAACTATGTAGAGATGTGTTATGTAGGGTACATGGAAGTGTGAGGGATTAATGTGCTTTTAAATAAACCTGTGAACATACAGGCTTAATTAAAGTTTATGAAATTGTCCAACCAGAACCCTTTCTATACCAATAGAAAGAGAAAGCACAGTCAGTGTTTGATCTTCTTTCAAATATTGTTTGAACATTTAAAATCAAAGATATGTTGGCTGGAAGGCACTTCTGAGGGTCATCCAGTCAGATCTGCTTGGATCAGGACAGTTGTTCACACTGGATTAAGCCAGTCCCAGGTTAGTCTTTTGTAAGACCTTTGTAAGCCTTTAAGTTAACAAGGTTCCTTCAGTTTCTCAGTGCCCCTTTGAAGTGAAGCTCTACTATTCAGGATGTCAACCATCCCTCTAACACAGCATCATCCACAAGTTTGCTGATCATAAAAGGGCCTGGAAGGGACCTCAAAGACCAACCCCTCTGCCATGGACAGGGGCACCTGCTGTGTCTTCATCCAAGTTATTGATAGATTTATTGGCCTGTGTCAGCCCCAATAACAACCCCAGGGTACTCTTATTACTGTTAGCCAACAATTGAAGCAACTTGAAGCCATCAGTTCTGTCTGCCCAGACGGTTTTCAACCACTCCAACAGTCCATCTGGCCACGGCTTACTAACATGCCATGGGAGGTGGTGTCAGGAGCCACAGGTCAATCAAGATGTGTTGTGTCCTGTCCCCTTGGTTGCATGACCAGTCATTTATTTCATCATGGTAGCTATTCAGATTTATCTAACATAGTTTACCGTTGGTAAATCTGTGTCCAGTATTCCTGATTACTTTTTTAGCTTTCACAGAGCTAACAGGACAAGCTCTAAGCATTTTTCCAGAGACCAAGGTGGTGCCGACTGGACGTAAGCACTCCTTGCTTCTCTTAAAAATGACCATGTGTTAGTCTCTTTCTAGTCTGTTTGTAGACTTTGTGTGGTAAATGTTTTTCATAGATAATACACAGTTGCCTCACAAGCATGTCAGCTGTGTCTCTTAGCAACCTTGAGTGTAACCCATCTGGCTCTGTGCATCTGAATACATCCAGCTTCTTTCAGCAGTTGCTGGCCCTACTCCTGCTTATCCCTATCCTTCCCAAACACCATTGGTACAAGCAGAGGTCGGTGTGCAAGCAGGCTTTGCCTGTGAAGACTGGGGCAGAAGGAGTGTTGTGTACTTCAGTCTTTTCTGTATCATCTTTGACAAGCTCATCTTCCTCTTGTGAGAGACTGAAATGTTAATGACTCAAACAATTGGCCATTTTCAAAACCAGCGAGTGCTTTGCTTAGGCCAAGGTTTGCACCCCCCAGCCGAAGGGGAGGAGGAGAGGTTTGGGGGTGTGATGATGAAACCTCTGATCTGCATAAGAACAGCCCAGGTGCAGAAGGGGTGAGTATCCACCCTGGAGGATGACCATGACAAACCAACCTTTGTTTAACAACAAGCTGGGTTTTGAGCCAAGTAAGGGGAAAGGCTGATAAGAATCAGATCCTGTGGAGGTGGGATAATGCTTTTTATCATGCCAATTTCCTCCCTTACACAACTGGCTCAGGTATAAAAGTCCTTCCCCCCCTGCGGGAGATATCAGAACATTCACATGTAAGCCTAAAGATATTCATCACTTCTGATGGGCCATGACTGGCTCAACTGCACTGATTTGAGAGGCAGCTGTCAAGTCTTCTCTCTTAGAGGGTATCACTCTTTATATAAGTATCACATATATACTTTCTCAAGTGATACTTTTATGCTGATGTATTTCTATAGATAATAACCAAAACGGCTACATACCTACTTTCCATTGCGGCCAAGTTATTCTACAATAAACCTGCCATATATATGTGTATAAACACTGGTCATTCAGTTGTCATTTCACTCTAATCCACCCCAAGGGATCTATTAACAAGAGCGTCGGTTATCTGGCTTCAGGGGCAGGTCGTAACACCCCTTCACTGGATTGATACACATTTTCACTTCTTTATGATACTTCCATACTTCTAAAATTCCCTCTCATTATCCTATATGTCTGTTGCTAGTTTTAGCTCCAGCTGACCTTTGGCCTTTTTGTTTTGAGGGAAAATAAAAGGTGAAAACAAGCCATGTCAAGCACTGAGTGTTTCGTTTAACTAATATTTATGATTTTTTTCAGGAGCCCGTGATTCTGAAGAGTGCCCAGTCGTCATGGCTCATACTACTATTTATGTGGGTTGCACTGTTCCTCAGTTACTGAAAGGTGCTAGCAGAATTTTTCCTTCTCATTCTGCATTGGGAGTGTTGAGGCACTCTGCTTTTTATTACTGCACAGTGAACGGGTAGGTTATCCACTTTCTTTTTTCTTTTGAGACAGTACCATGGTAACACTGCCGAAATCAAGCTGACAAAGTACTACAGACCTATAAATACTTAATTTAACTCCCAATTATATATTTATATTTAATTCTTATTTAGATTTATGTCATCTGTAGTCTGGATTACACTGGTAAATTGTTATGTTAATAGAAATTCATATCAGTAAGGGACAGTAGCACAGCTGTCAAAATGACAATTATCTTTGTTTGCTTTTTGTTGCAGCACAATAAAGTCAAAAAGGAAAATGGATCATCTAGAGAGGACAGCAAATAATTTTCGCCAGGAGGTTAGTGTTGTGTTCTTTAGGATGCAAGTAATTTTTTTTTTTGCTGTGAAGGTAATTGTATTGGATAATCATGTTTGATTCTTAGGCTCCATTTTCCATACTGCTGGAGTCTGTTTTACTACTTCTTCTCGTAATTTTTCATATTTGATGTTGTTATAAAATTAGCATATTTTGTACTCAATGGGTGAAATGTAATGAGTTATAAAAATTGTCAGTGATGTGATGCTATTTATTTTATGTTGGACAAGAAATTTAATAGAATTCTGGTCAAGTATGAATTCTAATAAGTAACGAAAGCACATGGATACCCATCACCTCTACACAGACTTCTCAGATTTTATGGATTTCTATAATTCTTATCCAGATTTGAGATTAAAAAATATGGAAAATGTCCTTTTATAGCACAAGAGGTAAGAAAAAATATCGACATTTTGAAAGGAGAGCTGATAGACAGTTGTAAAAAGGATCTTCATTTGTATCTATTTTAATTCACAAATACAAGGGCGATAAAGCATTTTCTCCATCAAAATACAGAAATGCTTATTCTGGATCTCAGTTTTGAGCAGAAAGCATTTTTTTTCGTAATGGTCAGAGGCGAACATACTCTTGTGTTTCATACAGATATTTCCTTTCTGTATGAGGCTGAAGTAGATGTTTTGAAGTTTTTAATACTGGGAGAATAAATATTACTTCAGTTCTCAAAAGTATATGACTAGTGAAAAAAATCTGCATTTTTCTTAGCCTTTTCAGGAGTTAAGTCACTTTTTTGACTGAAAAATCCCATCTTTAATGCTCAGGAGTTGGGAAAGGGTGTCCAGTTTTTCTCCATTGTTTAATTAGCTTCTCTCAGTCTTGAGTAGCTATTTGTGATGAACCAGCCTTGCGTGAGCCACCCAGCAGGACAAACACATCACGCAGATGTCAGTGTGTGTATGTGTACCTAATTACGTGCTTCTCTGCTAGGTTTTTCCCCAACTTTAGTTGAGAATAAGTCACAGGCCAAGTGAATTCTTCCCAAAAGGAAGCCAGGTGGAGGGGATATGTAGGTCACCCCCAAACCAGAAGATTCAGCACTTGTGACATGGGCTGTAGATGGATGAGACAAACGCAGCCTTGCTCTGCCTGTTGCCGGAGCTGCCAGGGAGTGAGTCAGCTTTGGGAATCATGTGTCTCAGAACTGTGCCTCAGCTACTCACACCTAATGCCAGCTTTTACTTGAATAGAGTGTAGCATTCCTTGTGGAAGTACAGCTGCTCAGGTGGATCCGGTTTATCCAAGAAAATGAGTGTAGAGACAGGCACAGACAGATGCATGTTCTCCTTTGCTTCTGACATGAAAAAAATCGTGGCATTTTTGAGTTTTGCAACCATGATTTAGTTATCTTGGATATTTCTGATTGCTTGGCTTGCTTACTTTTTCTGCTCAATGTGGGTAGCTGGATAATATGTGGAAAATGGATCCTTATGAGGTATTGGAAGCTCTGGGGTGGTGCAGGAAACCGTAAGGCCTGAGGAAGAGAAGGGAGTTATGTGGGATAGTTGAAAGAGCAAGGCTCAATTCTTGCTACTGCACATTCTCTGCATATCAGAGGATTATACTGTTTCTTTTTTTAATGCTTGATTTATTCTTTGTTACTTTATTTCTGACCACTTTAAAATCAGTTTATTTTAAATCCTCGACTTGGTTTTGAATTCCATATAATCAGCAGTTGGCTTCCCACAGTCAATATTGCCTTATTTGGCTATTTCAGTCCTGTAAAAGATGAAAGAATCATAAATCTGTGTTGCAATAGTGTCAATGCTACAGAACATTGCCCGTTGAAGAGTGATAATGTGAAGACGGGGATAAGAAAATGTGCCTAATGCTTCCTTGAAATACAGCTGCAAAATCTGGAGTCCTGTGTCGTCTCCCTCTCACTGCAGCCTGCTCTGGGCTAGTTGGATACTCTTGTGATAGTCCAAAATACTAATCACCCTGACGCAAATTTAATTTTTGAAATAACTTTATACTCATTAAGAATTAAATTTCCAGTGCTCTGTCTGCTCTCTCAGCCCAATAACAACTTAGGGAGTGTACTGAAGAGTAAAGAAGGGAATGGAGAAGATCTAAACTTAATGTTCGTTTCCTGCATTTAAAGTTTCTCAATCAGAACAACCATTTAAGTCATGTATCTGACATTTCTCTCATTAACTTAAACTGACTGTCTTCCCCATTTAATACTGTCTGCCAAAGTGGAACAGAAATCTATGCTACTTCATTTTAAATTAGCAAATGTCCTGCTGTTTAATGGGACAGGGGACGTGTTCAGATGTTACTTTATGAATAAATTAATTTCCTGCCATGTGTTTTAAATTATAGCATAGTTGCTTAAAATTTAATTTTTTTTTATCTGTTTGATCTTGCACAAATGAGAAATGATAGAGTTGTGATGGTATTGTGAGTATTTCCTACTGTGGTAAGTGACATCAGCATCTTTTAACAGAGTGAAATCTGTGTATCACCCTGTGTAGAAAATATTTAGGGCATTGCTTTCTTTGTGGAGGAAAAAGGTTAATAATTATAACTCAAAAATACCTGAAAAGGAAGGGCAGGGAGGGGATGAAAATCCATGTTGTACTGATGGTCATCAAAGAGTTTAAGTGGGGTGCTCATCCTCAATGGCCCTGTTGCAAAATCTGCTTTTCATTTTTCATCTTTTTTTTTTTAATAGCTATTTGAAAGTGGTATCAACCATGGCTCTGACATCCCCTCCTGCATGATTGCCAAACAAAAACTCTTCTGTTAACCAGCAATAAAAACCTTGTGTCATAGTTACCCCATGTTCATAAATAAAATATGTGGTCAAATGGGGAGGTATAAATGCAGGAACACAAGGCTTACTAGTTTTCTTGCATTGATGCACCAACACATATGTTTCAGTAATGCATTTACTTAAATAAAACTAGATACAACTCCAGAGTTCTCCCTTTTACTTCAGTTGCAGCTGATCTTTAACAAATGTCCTTTTTCAGTCTTTATATCAGAAATCTTTTTACTTTGTTGCTGGAAGATGCAGGAGTGTGTGTCTTGTATAGATGTCTAAAGAACCTGAAAAGGGATAAGTAGCAATCACTTCTCTTTATAGTTAAGCTTTCAACTGAGAGTAAGTTTGTATATAATCTTAGAATAAATCTGACAAAAGTGACAGACATGATGGACTGTAAGTACAAAAATATTTCTCCATTCAATGACTATGTAAGTGAATCATAGAATCAAAAAATGGTTTGGATTTGAAGGAACCTTAAAGACCATCAAATTCCAATCCTCCTGCCATAGGCAGGGATGCCACTCACTAGATCAGGTTGTTCAGGCCCCCACCCAACCTGGCCTTGAACACTTCCAGAGATGGAATCCACTTCTGTTTTTCTATGCCAGTGAAAAAATATTAGTGCTGTAGGTAATGAAATGCTGCAGAGAACATGGAAGGGATAGATATTTCATGCACAACTTCTCGAGTACTTTTGCTGCAAATGATATCTACGTATCACAATGGCTTATTTTCCTTTTGTCAGGTAATTACACAAGCAAAAGTGTGTGGAATCACCAATGAATCGGAGACAGTCAAAAGACTTCGTTTGGCTATTGCAAATAAGGATTTTACGTTCAAAGCAGGACAATGGTAAGATCTTAGAGTATTTGTGGGAGAAATTACTAGGAGAAGTCTACTACAGCAAAGTGTTACAAGGCCTCTCTGATCCTTGAACCCTGGAAAAAAATTGTTAGTTTATATAATATCATGTTTTCTCGTTGGTTACCCTGTCAAATATCTGATATTTGCCATAATTTTTAAATAGCCATTATAAAATATGCTAATATTACTAATAAAAGGGCAGAAATGGATGTTCTTTAAATGTTCAGTTTGATTGTTTTGATGTTTTCCTCTGGTTTATGTATATTACATTGTTTCTTCAAGAGTACTTTGAAGTTCCATGCACTTTATTCTGCAAACTGTCTTTGCTGTCTTTATTTACTAGTTACCTTTACAGTGGAGTTGAGACTGCTGCTTTGCAAGTTACTTAGTTTTGGTTTATAATTAAATCAGAGTTCTTTGCTAAGTTTTATTTTTTTCCCCTTGGAATTTCTTTAATTCTGAAAATTAAACCAGTTAGGTCAGGTTAATATATTAATATAGAAAGGCAAATTTGAAAATAAAAAACTTGAATTATTAAGCCTTTGAAACAATTAGCTGTTTGTTTAAGCAACTTTACAGGTGTTCTTTTTTTTTCCAAGGAAGTAGTGAATATTCACGTTTGTCATCCTTCCTTGTTAAAATTACTCTCACTCTCTCACATTTTTTTTCTCTTAGAAATTAATTTAAAACTACGAGTAGTTGCTTTTGGCAATGGACATTTAAATGTTTTTAAACTTTTTATTGGCTTAGGCCTTCTGAAAGTGGTTTTGCTGGAATCAAAGTATAGCTGCTAGGGTATTAACAGCATATGTTACTCATGGAGTGTTAATATGCTGGCTTTTAAATTTAGAACCAGAACACAAGATGTTGATTGCAGTAATTTGTTTGTGAAGTAATTTGCTGCAGTTTTTGCACATGTGCAGTGACTCATATTAAATTCTTGCTTGCCAGTACTGGGAAAGAGCATTTACCCTTCAAAAATGTTTTTGAAATTATCATGCTGAAAACTGAAAGCTTTAATTATAATTACTCTTCTTCATTTTCTTCTTCCTTGAAAGTATTCTAATGCTATTGTAAGGTATACGACAACTTTTCTGTACTTGTAGCTATAAACTGTGGTTGCATTTTTTGATGAGCAGTACAAAATACCAGACCACAATTTCCTGAACAAAAAAGGCTAACTTGTTAGGATTTGCTATAGTAAGATGTCACAGCCAAAGATTGTCACTAAAATGTTTAAATTTTCTGAAAGTGTTCTAATTATTGAGATTTTTAGAAGGAAAAGTGAGTTTGTTTTGCAAGCATGCTGGCAGACACTGATCTTTATCTGACTACAAATAATGATGAGGAGACTTGTTGCTCTTACCCATTTGGATTTACTAAAACATGCATTGAGGTATATGCATGTTACAAAGCTGCTTCTTCAAAGTGTTTGTGGTTTTAATGTTTCTAATCTCCTCCTCCAGCAATCAGTAATTATTGTTCATTTCTTAAGTGTTTGGCTTAGTTAGCCTTTAAAAGGAGGGAAATGCAAAACCACCCTCAGATCTCTGGTTTACATCTTTTTTGCCTCTCCTTGTTTGTGGGTTTATATGTAAGGGTTTTCCTCCTGTTTTTTCCCTTCAGCTACTCTTTTCCCTTAAGCTGTCACAGGTAGCATTTCTTAAGGAGCCCTCTTATCCTTCCTAACATGGCTAAGATAGACAAGCCATCAGAAATACGAGCTTGTCCACTATAATACAGTATACTGTGCCCTACAATCTCTCACAATTATGTAACTGGGAAAGAACTACTAATATGGAAAGAAATGTACATCTGCATTAGTATTTTAGAAAGGTAAAAACTGTGTTTGATTGAGGTTTTGCAGCAACGTTTGGTTTTGTGTGTGTGTTTCCCCACCGGGCACAGATTGACTCGAATGTAAATCGTTACTTTACAGCACAAATTCTTATTTTTTCGTTAATGTAAGTAGTAAGATTGTTTTCCACCAGAGGGAGGTAAAGAGCTTCAGTAGCATCGTTAGATGTTCTTTGCTCTGATAAATGCTACATTATAACAGTTGTCCTTTTTAATTTCTTGGAGCCTGACTGCCAGGAAAGCTGGGCCCTATGGGGCAGTGGGGCTGCAGAAGCTGAGGACAGTGAATTGAGCCTTGTCAACGTTTTTGGTTGTTAACCTTTCTTTTGCAGTCTGATACCTTTATACACCATCAAGTTTATTAGCATAAAGTTAAAAATTATATCACTGTTGTATATTTCACACTTTGTGCATTCTTCTTTGAGAGAGGATGTTGTTCTTCAAAGGGTGAAGCTTTGTGGGGAGATTTTTTTTGTTTAAAGTCGTGAACTATTCAAAGTGCTTCTCTCTTCCCTCAAGCAATTGTGATCTCTGTAAAGGATACAGCCTTGCTGTTTAAAGAAGATATCTGTGCCCTGGAAGCCAGTCTGTATTTCTTGTTGCATCCTCATTTAACAAATGCTGAGCCAGCCTAACTCAGGCTTGAATTGAATAACGATTCTATAGTACTTGGCATTGCAGTGTGGTTGTTTCTTAAGGGGAACAGCAGAACTAGTTAAAAACATTAGGTTTATTTTGAAATACAGGGATTTTGTTATGTGCTGTAGAAAAGAGAATTATTTAAGATTTATGGAACACAGAGGAGTACAAATGATGGATCATAAAACAACTTCTAATTTTTTTCTGATAGCTAACTATTTGGAATACCAAAGCCTTACTTTTATGAGAATGAATTATAGTTCATATGTAGTAATGGCTTACCTTCCATATTGTCTAGTGTCTAGTGTTGCAGAAGCTTAGTCATATGTTTACCTTCTAATGTGTAGAAACCCAGGTGTGGTTCACTTTTAACTTAAAAAAAAACCAACACAAAACCCAAAAAAGCAGGAATTTATTCCAGTTCAATTTTCTAACCTATGAAGTGATATCTGCCACCAGAGGGAGCTGCAGTTCTGCTGCCAGTAACCGACTTTTCCCATGAGAAATTTTTTACACACCATTGGTTCTACTATTTCATCTTCCCAGGAAAAGAAAGTGTTTAATCTAAAGTAATTTCCCTAAAATTAGAATCTCAATCTCCTTATGTTTTAAAATTGAAGAGCCCATCAAAGGGGTTTTAGAGTGGGATTTAAGCCACTCTATCAGACCATATTGTGTTTTCGTTGTAATATGCAAATAATTTATTTAAAACACTTAGAATTCCAGTCTGTTGTAAGATGTGACATCTAACGCTAAAACCAGTCCGATTTTAAAACCTTCTAGTTTAAAAAACATGATGACTTGTTTCTAGATGAAAATAATTCTAAGGAAATGGTGTTACACAAGATTAACTCCTTTTTTGGAAAAGTTATGTTACGGAAATGAAGATGTTGTAAAGGAAGGATAATTGAAACAAAAGCAGCCATATTGTTTTGGCTGTTGTTTTCCATGTTTGGGGTTGTTGGCTTCTTTTTTAAAATTCTGTTTCTGGTCTATTTTTAGGGTTGATTTCTTTATTCCTGGAATATCTGTAGTTGGGGGATTCTCAATATGTTCAAGCCCTGGCCTCTTAGAACGAGAAGGAATACTAGAGCTGGCAGTAAAGCACACTGTTCATCCTCCTGCTCACTGGATTCACACTGAGGTAAATTACATTAACTGTGAGATTTGGCTCTTTATTTGTTTGTTTGTTTGTGGGGTTTTTGGGATGTGGAGGGGGTTGTGTGTGTGTTTTTAGACCACTTTGTGCTATTGACTGCAAAACTCATGTTGACTTGTTCAACCATTTTTAATACAACATAAATCTTAAAACCTATTGTTCAGTAAGAGACTGAAATTGGATTTTTATATGGTAATATGGTTATTGCAACCTTTTGACTCTACTTGTGATATTGTAGTTAGTGCATATAAGGATTCTTACTTCTTTGGAATTAATGACCTTAAAAATGTTGAAAATTCTCTGTTCTAAATTGTGTCCCTGAGAACAGTGTTACACCTTACAAAGCTAATCTGATAATGTTCCATAATTCCTGAGCATTTCTACAAATATAAAATGGGAATCATTGATAAATCACAGATAAATATAGATTATTAACGGGGAGCCAAGGGAGGTATTTAGGTCAGTTTTTCTCAAATGATAAAACAACAGAATACTTTAGGATTTCTATAATATTCTCTTAAATATGCAATATTTTTGTAATATAGACATATTACTCAAGGCTTGATTTTTTTGCTATATTAAAAGCAAAATCTGACACTTGGCCTCTTGCAGTGTTTTGTTCATCATTTACCCCATTTAGTTACAGTCAGAGGAGTCACATATTTCATCAGTGATCTGTCCTATCAATTTTTGTTCTTTTCACAGTCTCTGAAGACTCTTTTAGGATTTCTGATGTCATAAATTAGTTTGTTGTTGCTGAGTTTACTGGTTGAATTTATAGGATAAATCTTTAGTCAAGGGGTAAGCTACGCCAAACCTGATGCTGTAGAGAAACCTCCAGGGTATATATGGACTCTTCTAGCTAAACAAAACCACATGCTTTTCCTTAGGAAACAAGCAGAAAAAAAATAGCAACCTAGAATTTGAAAATGTTGTATACATGGTGAAAAAGCTCTGGTACTTAATTGCTTAGAAGTTACTTCTAAAGGAAGTTGGTAACTCAGGGTAGAAGATGTTATGGGAATAGTTAGCACTCACTTACTGTATTTGGGGTTTTTTAGAGGTATTTATTTCTTAATATTACTGTATATAAATCATAAATTTTAGCACTGTGTACTTTATAGCTTTAGGAAAATGTAGCCTTTTAGAAAAATGTCCATGTAATGCGTTGATTGCTTCACTTCTCTACCTGAGCTGTGTTTATAAACTAGGCTAAAGGACAACACTGTCTCATCATATTACTCCAGAATTTTACTGTCTTTTCTTGTATACTGACTTATGGGCAAAGCATGGAAATATGTGGGAGACTGCTGATTATGAGAGATCTCCTCATGTCCAATCTTGATGAGCTACGTTTGGTTAAGGTGGCAGATTAGATGACAGTGAGGTTGTTTCTCCCTAAAAAGGCTTATTTACTCAAAGGGTACCATATTCTGTGTCCTCCTTCTGCCATGTGAATCTGGAACACTTGTGGATTCATGCATCTCTAAACCAGACTAAAACATGGTGGGAAAGCCTGGCAGTGTATGTGAACAGGGAGAGAGAAATTGGTTTCAGATAATGAATGCTGATTGTCTTACGCTATAATTGAGAGACAATACTTCATGCAATAATTAAGAAAGGCAAGAAATTTGGGGTTTTTTTTAATGATCATGCTAACTACTTTAGGAACTTGTGTGTTCTGTGCAATACCTGAATCCAAAGGCCTCCTCCTTCCTCCTGGTGGAATTGTTACATGTTTAGACCTTTGCTGTCTATGCAGTTGTCATTAATGGAATTCCTTTTGTTTCAATTTACTGTTTCCTGGTACCAGAAGGATTCTTTGGAGGAAGTGTTTTCATTTTCTAAGCTAACTTTTCAGCAGTTCTTGTAGCTTTCCTTGTTTTTCCCTCCTCCTTTCCTACTTTCCTTGGTTTCCCTATCCTCTTCATTGTTTTTTTTTTAAATCTATATATGACCTGAAGTGAGTTGTGTTTTCTGCTCTTACTTGTTTTATCTGCTTGCAGTGATGTGGGAGAACTCACCTGACTTCTCTATACTGCAGTTTCACCCTTCATACCAGGATGCAGTGCCAGTTTACCGAGAAGATATTGGCCCAAATGGATTTTTTTGTTGTAGCTTTCATTTTCCATGTATCAAAAAACCATGATTGGACAAATTTCTCTAAGAAATAATATCTTACGTACGAGTGGAGAATAAGAGAGAAGGTTTTCCCCTGATTTTTCTTCTTCTGTACCTCTAAAGTTGCAAATGCAGAAGTGATTCTGTAAGAAATATTCTTGTGGATACTGCTTCAGTTCTGGGTGTTTTTTATTTTTTAGGAATTTTCTTGACATGAGGCTGGGTTTGGGTAGAAGTGTGATCTCATGTTGACCTTGGGTTTTCACAACCACATTTTGCATTGGAAAACCCTTGCATGAATCGTTCCTCTTTCAAGTCCTATGTGGATGAAAAGGGGGAGTCACCATCCTGCCTTACCATAAGACTGAAACTTTTGAAAGTAGAACTGGATCTCTAGAGACACTGGGTTACCTCAGATAGCTGGAAATTTTGTGTATATTCTAAAGTATTTCTGGTTTTCCCTCACTAGTCAATAAAAAAAAATCACAGCCCAGCAAGTCTTTGTGACTGGAATGCAAGAAGAATAAGGTTTCAATTTTGCTTTTCATTTTGAAATTAAATATCTTCTTTTCCGTCCTAGTGTACTCTTGACTCAGAAGTGGCTCTGCGAGTGGGAGGTGATTTCTTCTTTGATCCTCAGCCTGGTGACTCCCCAGTAAACCTAGTGCTGATAGCAGGGGGTGTTGGAATTAACCCATTGTTTTCTATACTGCTGCATATAGCAGATCTTCATGGATACCAAGAGGGTAAAGGAAATGGACACAAATTGGGAACAGTGAAGCTGTACTACAGTGCAAAAAATACAAGTGAACTCTTATATAAGGTAAATAAAAAGTTTTTTTTAAAAAAAATAGGCCTCAGCTATTCAGCTACTAGTGTGTATACCAATTGGTTGCCAAACTCCAGAGAGTCCTTCTGTGTAAGACAGTGTATAAATGGAGACAAAACTCACGTCCTGCCTCAAATGCCATGTGTGTTTTGTTAACTACTTAGGCCAGTGTACAAATTAAGGTTGTTACTAGATATACCTGGTCTCAGGGACTTTGGTGATAAGTCAATTACCCCTAAATTTTACTGTAGCCCTGCATTTTACTATAGTCTCATAAGAGCATCATAGTATACATATCATAGATTACATATATATTTATATGTATATATACACACCAGTAGTATGCATAATGTTATAATACTGAAACCACATAGTCTCAGTATAGATTGTATTGAATTTAAAGACTAGAAAAGAGCAATTATATCCACTTTCTAAAATAACAGGGGAGCTTTATTGATAATGAATTAGTTATTATTGAGTACTATTGTATGAATGAAGGATTTATGGCTGCTTTTAAAATTTCTTGTGCAGCACTTCATCAACATTTACTCAGCAGTTAAAGATCAGTTGTCACACTCAACCTTTAAGGGTCACTGATAACATTTTAGGGTCAAATTAGCACAGCTTCTGTAAAGAAGCATCCAAAATGATTTAGGTTTCTTCAAAGTATTGAAAGCTTTTGATTGTAAGATAAAGGTGAAAATAAACTGTGTATAGGATCCATCACTAGTTTTTCTTCTGTACTTCTGCCATGTTTCTAGAGATGGAGATATTTGCTTTCTTTGAAAAGTCATTTGTTTGTTGCTAGAAGCAGAATAATCTGCTCCTCTGTTTGGCCAACTGCTGCTGTGCCAGTCTGTTCTGAGCGTGCACAGGTGTTTTCAGTGCCTGTGCTAACATTCTTGAGTTTCCCTTCAGCCGTGCTGTGACAGCAGAGCTTTTGTATTAAAGCTTCTGGGACAGAAGAGAACACAATGATATTTACAGTGCTTACAATATTCTTCACGTGTCCCTCAAATCCAGAACATGTCTGTCAAAATTCTTTACTTCTGTGCAGAGGAGTGAGGAAATAGAATCACTAGGAGCCTTTATGCTGTTGCAAGAAACATCTGTACAACTCTCCAGGAGGAACTGCTGGATTGTCACTGATGGTTTGGAGGACCTGTTCCCTGAAGGACAGCTCTGTATAGGCTGACAAAGGCAAAGGGAAACACCAATGTCTTGGGTGTGATACTTGTTCTGGATGTGCTCTCATGTCACAGGCTGAGGCACTGCTTCTGAAAATCTCCTTAGTGCAAATGGTAGAAGCAATACAGTGTGAGAGTTACAAAAGATAGCAAGTCAACAGTAGAGGTACTAGTGGAAATAGTGTCCAATAGTGTCAGTCTGTGCTGCTCTTCATTCCTTGTCTTTTTAGGGATTCAAGGACAGATTTGCCTTCAAAGTAGTATCTGTCTGGGGTTTTTTGTTAAGCAACCCATGGCAGACTCTCTAGTGTAGTAACCAGTTAGCAGGCAAACACAACTAAATGAGCTAATTTACCTATTTGCAGAGTAGACATTATTTGTATTTCAAAATATTTTTAAGAATTTCCAGTGTCCATTCCAGCAGTGAAAATCTTAAATAGTGCAGAATCTAGACAACAGCTAAATCTTAATTTCAGAATTAACTACAGCATCTGACAGACACATTATTTTTTTACTATGATTTGAATTGAAGCTGCTGGGTTTTTGGCTGTAACTTATCGCAGCTGTGACTTAGGGAACTGAAAATTACTGTTTCTACTTTCTACTCTGGTAAAAAGTAACATTACCATTATATTGTATTTGGTTTTACTTGGAGGATGTGAGACAGTAAAAGGTCTAGTAATCTTACCACATAAAGCAGACAAGACTCAGAAAGTTCCTAACAAATGGTAAATACATACTGTAGGGTTTTTTTTAAATGGAAAACCCCTATGGAAGTGGAAGGAGGAAATAGTGAGAATTTAAAAGGGGAAGAAACTGGGAAATGACATAACTGGTTCTTAAGTCCAAATCTTACAGATTTCAACCTATCTCAGAAAAGGAGACAAGCTCTAACATAGCTAGCAGGGAATTTACATTCCAGGTATGGGAATTGTGTGTGTAGGTGTGCAGGTCAGCCCTGTGGAATCAAGCCCGTCAGGTTCTTGGTGCTGAAATGCAAAGTCTTGGTTCTCGGTAATAATCACTGGTGTTCTGGGAGTGTGTGCATACATCTGCTTTGATTTAATGGCCTGTGGTGTAAGCAAGTGTGTTTAACATTACAGAAAAATATTCTTGATTTGATGAACACGTTTCCTGGAAAGATCACATGTTGTTTCCATGTTACTCAACAGCGTTCACAGATCTGTAAAGAACTTCAGCCACATGTTACAGGTAAATGTACAGATGGTATCAAAGTCCAAGTTTGATTACATCCTAAAGGATGAAGTTATTATGCATAACTTAGTATTTTTACATTTAAAGGTTCAAATCGAGATGTGAGTTAAACCTAAATAATTTCACTGAACACACTATGCTTTGCAGAAAAATTTTCCCTTTCCAGTTTTTGTTTTCCTCTGTTAATGCAAAACTTTATACTGGTATTTCCCACTTCAGACTTTATTCCAGAAATTGTTAAGCAAAGTATTTACTTTCCTATTTATTTTGCTTAAGGTGGGATTGATGAAGGATAATCTGACTGCCTGTAAGAGATATTTCAGCATGTTTCCATTTTTGCTGTATTTGTGTTAGAGATACTTACCTATTTTTTTCATGAATGTGGGATTTTTGCTTGTATGTAAGCCGTGTTCTCTTCAGTGACTAATACCCTCTGCATTCCAAGCAGAAGTACTGATCTAAATCCCCAAAAGAACAAATGGCTTTTGAAGCCTCAAATCTCAATACCTATTATTCTGAAACAGGCCAGGCATTTTTAAGAAATGAGTGCTTGAAATACCTCTAACCAGACATTCTTTTTGAAATGACTTCACGATAAATATTTCTGTTCTCATTTCCTACTTTTTTCTTTGTCAGAGGGAAGAATATCCGAAAAGGATCTAGAAAAACACGTATCTAACAATACTTCGTGGTACATCTGTGGTCCACCTCCAATGATAGAATCCATATCCAAACTATTGTCTAACATTGGTGTTCCTGGAAACCGTGTTTTCTTTGAGAAATGGTGGTAGTGACACCTGCTGAAGAGAAAATATATTATTTTTTCCAGCTAAAATGTACAGAAATGGACTATGAATTATTTGGAAGATTTTACTTCATAGATGAAGATGTCCTCAATTGTTACAGTGTTCCTTTTAATTTAACTGTAATATATCTGTAATGCAGTGCTCATGCTTTGGGGAAATAAAGTGATTTTGTATTAAAGACATTAACTGTTATGGTTTTTCGATAGTTTGCTTCTTCTTATGAGTAGCAGCATATTTTCACTTTAGACACTTCCTTTGTTAGTCAGCTTTTAAAAGACTTTCAGTGCCTGATTCAGCAGATGCAGAAAATTAGTTATGCACCAATGCCAGGTCTGTTTATAAAAATAAATGAGGCCACAACTTCTGAATCTGCTCCAAATGAGTCAATACCCTTCCCTCCCCAGTTCTACATAATACAATACTATTTCTATAGAAGTACAGCTGCGGGGTTGTGACTTCCTTCTCGCCATTTCTTGTCAAAAGCAAAAACCAACCTTTTATGTGGTTCAGCTGTGTTGACAGTAAAAGACATTTTTTTTTATAATCCTCTTCAGCCCTGAGTTAGAAGTGTTGAGTGTAGCAGTGTTAGGCATCAGTACAGCTTCCCACCTGAACCTGTATCCCGTGCCAGTGCCGAGGTTGTCCATCCAAGATTGTGCTTGTGTGTGCTGCGTCCTCAAAAACAGCACTGGCCAGCAATGGCCAAGATTGGAAATCTCCACAATCTTGCTGCATAAAGCACAGAGCTTTAAGGAAATCCAGGACGTATCAGTTTTGCTTGGAGGAGTCTCTGGGAAGGTTGCTCTTATAAGGCATGAGTGTACCTCTCTGTGTCATGGCTGACACCTGAGCCCTTCCAGAATGAAGCTTCTTTGCCCAGCTTGTAGACAAACTCATTGTAGAATTTGAGACCAACAAAAAGCTATAGTGAGTTTGCTAATTACCTGCATAGACAGTTCAAGTCCTTAAAGTGGTAGAGATTCCCACTGTACATCTGAAGACCTCAATAAGGAACAGTATCAAAAATACTAAATTAATATTGAATTAGTAAAAATGTTAAACAAATAAGGCCTTCTCTTTGTTAGTGGCTCCTTACCTTGTGTTAAATGTTTCAGACAATAGTCAACTAGGTAATGCAGCAAGTTTCTTGCCATCAGTGTGTTCCTTCTTTGGCCCTAAACAGAGGTTGCAAGGATATTGATCCCATCAGCCTATTTCCAGCCTGCAGCAGTACTGTTGGTGTGAAGCACTTTGTTTTTCAAGCATAACATCCCTGTGGTTGGCAAAAAAGGCCTCCAGCCCAGCTGTCGTTGTCTCCCAAAAGTCATTTCAGCTTCAGCATGCTGAGTTTAGCCTCTAGTAGTACCCTCTTTTTATCAATCTGGTACATTGTACAGCTTGTAGGATACCTACTGCCATATCCACACACACCTCATCTTCAAAATCCAATAAGGCAGCCCAGCTGGGAAACTCCAGGCCCTTGCTTTGAGGGAAGCACAAAACTACTACTGTTATTGTGGCAGAAGGTGATTCAACAACTGAAATGATGCCAGCACTTCCTGAGTGTTGAAGAGAACAGGCCATACCTGCTGGTGCTCAGAGCACACACAACTGAAGGACAGGCTGTATTTTCCATCAGGAGGGTACGACTCTGACCGATGGACCTTAAAGAGTTGCCTTTTGGGGACAGCAGTGTGATGAGGCCTTGCCTGTAAGTTTACGCCTTCTGCTGCCTGCAGCCTCATCCACTGAGGTCTGTGCTTGTGTTCTGCGCGGCTCTGCCGCCCACTGACATCGCCAGCCTCCTCCACAGTCCCTGCAGACCCAGAGGGGATGTCTCATTGAATTCCCTCTGCCTCAGACGAGAGGAAGATTCTTTCTGAGTACCCCTATTTCAAGGAATGGTTCCTTGTTTGTTCACTCTAGAATGTAAATAGGACAGCATGCTTGCCACAAAAAATAACACCAAGGGGGCTTTGCATTCACAAAGATTGCAGTTGACATGTCAGAGCTTGATGCTTGAAAGCAGCAGGGTTTTCCTAGGAACGTGCAATACATTGCTATCGGGAAGTACTGGTGCCCTAAAATAAAAACCACACGTTAGGCTCCTGCGTGTTTGACAGTGTAATGATAAAAAGATTCTGGAAGCCTTTACATGTTGTTTTTCTTATGACTTTTAAATCATTATGTGGATTATAAACTGGTATATCTTTTTTTCCACTTAATTCATAGGCTTTCCACAGCCCAAATGACACTCTTTCACAAACCCCTCCTCAGACTTGCCCCAAAATGTCCATTTAACAAAAGGCATTTTGAAATCCTTTGCTTCTGTAATCATCTTCTTTTCCCTCTAACCTCTTTCTGTCATCCCCTGTTACACTCAAGCTGAGCGCTGTGGGGCAAGGGCATATCTCTGTAATTGTATGGGCTCAGCCACTTGAAGAGCAGGACGAAACACACACACGCTGCACCGAAAGATGAGAGGAGAAAAATAATTTCATATCTCCCCACCCCCAAATACTGGTAACCTCTGTTAATGTCAACAAGAAGTCCTTTCTTACTTTGTAATAAAAGCCATTTCTAAGCCAAGAAGTCAGGAAAGTTGTTGACATCCCCTTCCTCCATGGCCTTTTCCTGTTGACACTTAGACATTAGGGTAAAACTGATGTTTCACTACAAGACTCTAGAAAGAAGAGACTTCTGAAAGATTCCTGTTATTGGATCTGACTCTGCTTTAATTGAAGACAAAAATAACACCCCAGGAACATTCACCCATATAAACATATGGTCTACAAATAATGAAATAAATGGGATATTGGTCTGCACTGGAAGGAACAGAGAGCAGCCCCTGCTGTTCAGCTGCTACAGGGTTGGAGAAATATTCTCATCACATTGGAGAATCAGGTAATCATAGAAAATGTTTATTCCTCTTACACTTGTGCCAGCAGCTAAGGAGCAACTGAAAGAGAAGTGGACTGATACTCTTTTTTTGCAACAAAAGATGAGGAGTGAGAAATGTGCCTGTCTATACATTTATATTTGAACTTAGAGAGATGGTTTGTGAGTTACCTGGTGTTGCAGCCTTATTAGACTTTATCTTCTTCTTCTTGTGATATGTATTTTACTAGTTTGCCTGTCCTTATCTGGTACAATAGGTATGAAGTATTCCTATAGGATTTGCATTAATTACCTGGAAAAAGAATGGCTATCCACTTATCATTACATCACTTTAGTTAGCAGGGTGCTTTTAGAGTGAGTAACAGAAAGCACTTCAATTGAAAAGCCTTTTTTTCCCCTTCAGCATATAGGTAGGGTACTGACTACAGTCAGCTACCACATCCAGCACCACAGGCACCTTTCTGAGGATGGAGGCTTTGGCAAGGATCATCTTCTAAAGCCAAAAGCACATTCCACTAACAGCCTCGGAGACATATGAGTTGTGTCTACAACTCATAATTCATAGGTGTGTTGGTATTGTTCACCCACATTCCTCATACTTCTGAGAAGCACTTATCAGCAAGAAATTAGTATTTGCTCTTCTTATACTCTTCAGTTCTGTGAGGATGAAATTCCTGCATGAAAGGCTCATCGTGCTTTATTTCTGCCCTATAATTGGCTTCCTGAGGCAAATAAAGAGTCACAGCAACTACTAAGAAAAAGCAGGGTATCCAAATGGAGAACCCTTCCCCTGCTCACCTCAGAAACCAAGGCTGACAGAGGAGCCAAAGTAGGGAAAAAAAGAGTATATTGTTTTGTACTTAGCTTCATGTCCATGCATATGTTAAAGCTACTTGGAGCTATTTAATTTATACTGTTTTCAAATGCACAGATCCAATAATCAAAGACATTATGCAAGATGAAGTGCCAGTCCAATCATTTGTGCATTTAACCCCTCCTGAACTCTACATAAACTATTTTCATTATGATGCTTCAACAGTTTGGACATCCTACCCATCATAGTTGTACCCCTCTACTCCTCCTCCCCACTGTTTGTTGCAATATAAAACCCCTTTTTTATCCTTCATTTAATTCAGCCACTCCTCTTTTGACATTTCTTCATTTGCCTGAGCTGGCTCTTCTCCTTAGTATTTATCCTGTTGTAACAATTGTTGGCTTATTCAGATGACCACTTGCTCCAAACACCAGCACACAAAACTCCTCTCAACAGAGTATCCGTGCCTCCCCCTCAGAGACAGGCAACTCTTGGGAGAGGTGTACACACCTGAGTTGTGGTGGTCTGACAGGGAAGGTACAGGTTAGAACACACACCTGTGCTGTGGGGCTGCATCATCACCAGCTGACACCAGGAACATGTGGTAGCACAACCCATCAGCTCCTTCCCCAGGACATGCCAGCAATGCTCAATGATGTCTCCTTCCAAGAGAGGCACGGGAAGATTCGTTTGCATCCTTACTGGGAGATTCTCCCTAATCTGGGGGGAAAATTCAGGTTTGGCTAAAAATGCTGGCTCTCTGTGGGAAAAAAAAGGGCCTGGCTTCTCTCTCCATCTCCTGCCGGGGGTGACCAACCCTGCTGCAGACTTGGTGGCTCAGAATCACTGTGGCTTCTCTGTGTGAGCAGCCAGGATGGATTCCCACTGTCCCCCCTGAGCTGACAATTGAGGCTGTACCTCTGCAGCCAAAAGTCCATTTCAGCTTCTCCCACAGACCTCTCCCACTCCATTGTTGGCGTATTTCCCCGTGTTGGTCAGGTTTTCAGAGACAGGATTTGAGCCCTGGCCTAATCCTTTCTCTTGTCCCTTCAACCTTCAAATAAGGCGCTGACTGCTTCCTTTCACTTCCTTGGCCACTCCTGCTTTTTCAGGCCCAAAATAGCAAAAGCAGTTGAGATAAAATGCAGATAACAGCTGTGGAGCCGTGCTGCTGTACCCCACACGTGCATTACTACCCAGCCCTCATTACATCTGGATCACCTGACTATGAGGTGATTTAAGTTTTCTCACTTTCCTTGAGATGGGGACACAGTGAAAGCACATGCACAACTCCTGACAGCTGAACCAGCTCAGGGTAATTCAAAGTCACGAGTTGGAATTGATTATGTGACTATAAACCCAAAGCTGTTTGCGCCCTTATGAAACTGAAAAAACGAGTAAGTTCTCTTTGACTCTTCCCAACCCTAAGCCACTCCAGCATTTACAGGAACAAAGTTTTAAATCAAACTTTCACTTAAAC